TCCCCTCCTAGCTTTACTGTTCAATGTACAGTACACGCAGAAAGAGAAAGCTGAACTGATGAAACGGAACTGACCAAAGACTGAAAAGCTTTGAGAAATTGTCTTTGTGCTTCTGACAAAGTTATATGTAATGCAGTCCAACCAGAGTAAGAAAGGAAGAAAAATATCATTTCAAAACTATGTATTTTGCCTCTTATTATTTTAGGTCCTAATATGCTTCAAGTCTGGAAACAGTTGACAATCCCATAGTTACAGGATGTAAGGAAAGTGAGGGTAACAGAACAAACAATATTACTTCCAGTGGCGCTTTTCACTGATCTTTCTTATTGATTTAAATTTCTCTGTTTACTGATGAGGGCTATTCTTCTTTCCCTAGGGTAAATATAGGATACTCTAATTAGCATCATAGTAATGATTATAATACTTTCTTGCTCATTTAGAGATCACGCATCATATTTTTAAACATCTATTAATAAGAAGCCTCACAACATTCCTGTGAGGTAGATATGTGGATCCCCATTTTTAGATGGGTTAATAGAGGCACAGAGAGGTGATGTGACTTGCCTAAAAACTTGGGAAAATACAGAAGAGAGGCAAATCAGGGGACCACCCTGTTGTCAGAGATCCATTTTAGTAAGAAAAAGACAGTGCTAAGTGTTTCTTTAAACTGGGCCCATGCAGTTGCCTTCCCACTCACACACAACGGAAGATCAATAAGCTTCCTTGACTTATTCCAGGTTAGGTCAATCACCAATGGTTTTTGCTTCATGTATGAGAAAGCATTTAGGGGCTAGAATAGAATTGAGAATACAGATAACTTTAATTCAAGAATCTTGTAGACCATTCCGGTTCAAGGAGTTGTGAAGTTCTAAAAATGTTACTACCATAAGCACCGGGTTCTAGTTGGTTGATTTTTTCTCATGGGTATAAGGAATAACACTTAGGTCTCTGTTCATATGTATATAAACTAGACTTCAACAATTACAGAAGGTGGATCTATGGTTCTCACTGTTAGCATGGAAGGCTATGGAGATAACTAAGGATTATAGACAATGGTATGAATTCATATACAGATAATAAAGAAGATCACATATGGAAATGTTTATAGACACGTGCATATATATAGCATAATATATATGCATATATTTCTATTGGCTGAAAAGCCTTGAAGAAATAATATCCCCAACATAGCAAACACATATAGTGCACAGACCTTGGTTTCTAATACAATTCTTCAGTAAAAGGAATTAGAACTCATTGACGAAATGTCTGATTATGAAAGTGCCCTCTACAAAACAAAAGCAAGATGAACCTGGAACATCTTATGACACTAAACCTCAAGCACATGCTGAAAAACAAATGATGGGGTAGGTAAAAAAGACTTAGGAATTAATTAAGCTCCTAACAGTCAAAGCTACAATTTGGGCAACAAAATACAAGTAGCATTGGATTATAAAATAAACTATAAAATAAATATCAATGAGTCCATGTTGGCATAAATAATTATGAAAATAAATAAATGGGAAGGAGGTAAAGCTCCCATGCAGAAGAATTCCAAAGAAGTTATGCATTGCTCTCAAGAACATGGTTCATAACTCACCATTTCCACATGTGTGGGCTGCACATAGTAACTTCCTTCCAAACAGTATAGCATAATAGGAGAAGGGGTCTATGTGAGAAATTTCACATATACTATCCCAGCCATGTGACTGAAGATAACATGAAGAATGATAAGCTACAGAAATATGATGTTATGAAAATAGTAACTCACTTGTGTGCTTGTTCAGGCCCAAATCCACTAACCTAGTCTTTTCATGAGAAAAATAGCAAGTAAATTCCAACTGAAGAACATGCTCCCAAGGTCCTTGCGAGCAAGGAGACGCTGTCACAACTAAAGGAGCTGTGACGATTAATATAATGCAGTATTCTGAAGGAGATACTAAAACAGGAAAAGGACAACAGATGAAAACTAAGGGCGTCTGAACACAGCACTGACTGCAGTTAACATTAACGTATCAGTATTGTTCCACTAACTGTAACAAGTGTACCCTACTAATGTACAATGTGCAGTGAACAGGAACTCTGCTCTACCTTCACATTTTTTTTATGAAAACCTAAGAGTTCCAACATGGAAAATTTATTTAAAAAGAAATTCTTTTTATAGACATTTGTGTTCTGCACATAAGGAACCCCACTAATTCATCAAACCAATTTATATTTTCTATATTTTACAATGGCAATTATCAATAGTTATATTCAGCTGCCAAAATGTCTACAGGAGGAATTCCACTGTAATAAATTCCTGAATATTATCATCCCATTGAGATTTCCATATCTCAATGTAGGCAAAAGTCATACTAACAGTGCTTTGCTGTTGTAAGCCCGTTAAACTTAGTTGAAGCTCAGATGTTAACCAAAAGAGACGCATTTCATTTTCTTTCTGCTCTACCATCTAGCAAACGTGCATGTGCTTTTGGTGCAGTAACTCTACACTGTACTGTGTTTGCATCTCTTTACTCTGTGAAAATTTCTTAATTATGACACATTTTTAAAGAATATGTTTGTAACTAGAAAGATTTTACCATTTTTGGAAAAAAGGGCAACAAGAACAGGGTTTAAATTGTTTCGTGTCTAAAGACAACGAACCAAGCATTTGCACAGTCTATTATCACTCTGCAGAAATATATTTGAATAAAGGCTCAGAGATGCTAGGAACATCAACACTTAGGATCCTAATTTGATCACCCTTATGAGTACTATAATTTGATAGTGCTCATTTGTAAATATATGTCTCAATGTTAATATTGTAACTATATGTCTCAATATCCTGAAGTCTAAGGGGCACATGCCAATTCTGAACTCTGGAAAACAAATCTTAGGATCTAAAGTGGGAAAAAGGTAGGTAACCCTTCGGACTCTGTTCTATAATATTGCACCAACTACTCAATTATAAGCTTAAGCCCATGCATGGTAGTAATATACATTTATCAATCTGTCATACAATGTGGTCCCCATTAATAGACTGACCCTAGATATTTATTAGTGCTTTAGTAATTAGTATACATACAGCTTGAAACTTGCATACCCCAAGTCAGGAAAAATCCTATATGAAGATAATGATAATAGGAAAACCTATATGTCATCTTGAAAAACACAAGTAGGTCTTAACTTATGGAGAATTTATGGCCTGGAAACAACAAGGTAAATAAAAAACAAAACAAAACCATCAAAATGTGAGACTAGAACCACTGTGTGCATGGCGTTAACAGCAATGGCCATAAGCACATTCTACCTACTTTGTCCTCAACTATAGATAAATTTTGAGGATAACATATAAAATTGGACAAATATTGCAACCAATCACATAATTATTTTCTTTAATTTGGTTTACTAGTGTGATCCCTGGGAGGAGTGTACAGGTCTGTAAGGCCTCAAGGAACTATCTGGAGAAAGAATTGAACCCGTATTTGCCTCATCTGGATAGAAGTAGACAGGACCCCTTCTAGATGGTAGAGTTCTAGGATTTAGATAGAAAGGACAGCCACAGGAGGTAGTAACCTAAAGTGTTCACGCTAGAACTTTCGAATATCTGCCAAGAAAAAAAGGTTTAGTACGAAGACAACCTTTAGGCAAGAGGCTGCGTCCAATTCTACTGACACAGAGCCCCTCCCCTGTTTCCCAAGAGATGGGATATGCCACATGGAGGTAGATCTGAGGTCCAGGGCCAGGAACAGAGGGTTTTCTGCCCCAGAGAATATTAGGAACAGTCTGATTGGGCAACCAAATGTATATTATGCATCCTGCTGTTATGCCTAAAATAAATTGGCTTGGGGATTGATAGCAGTTCATATGTCAGTGTCAGAAAAACAATCTTTTCTATCTCACAAAAAAACAGAAGAAGGAAAGCCAAAAAAAAATGGCACGAAGTAAACAAAATTCCTTTAGTGCAACCCCTCACCTCTGTATAACATGCTCAGTGTGCAATTTCTCTCAGGTAATCAGACTAATGGTTGCTTCATGTAAACAAAAGAATCAACAGTACAATGTAACCCATCAAGAGCGCCTTTGCAACAGGCTGCCCTTTGAATGAGGTTTGGGATTAACAGCAGTGCTAACACCTTATCCAAATAATTGCTCACAGGGTCCTCCCAGGTTTGCTTTTTCCTGTCACAGCCCAACACCCTTTCCTAAGATACTTCTCCCTATTGATCTGTCTTTCTGTGCTTTGAATATTTGTCCAAACTTAATCTAAAAAGAATGTAATTGTGCCATAAAACCTTTTATAATAATTATAAAGGAGCATGAGGAGGAAGAGGAGGTCAAAAAAAATCCCTTCATTTCTTTGATGGACTTCAAAAAGGAGGGCTGGTATTGTCTGTAAACCAAACTGGTAAGAACAAGTAAAACTGGATCTACAAAACCTTTGGGGTTAGAATGAGACTCTGTATTTCAACTCAATTCTCTGTAAATCTGACCAATCAACACCGTTATGCCCCTTGTACCTATGACTTTGAAAAAAAAACCCTCATTTTAGGACATCACCAAGTGACTTTAGGTACTGGTTACAATATATATATATATATATATATATATATATATATATATATATGGATAAAAGTTTTCTAAAACAAGAGAAAAGAGGGGAGCAGCGGAAATTTGTTCACAGCCTTGAGTTTGATTCCTGTTTTGTTTGTTATTGTAGGAAAAATGTCTATAACATAGCATAAGGGATCAGGGAGGGCAACCATGGGCGCCACACTAGAATTCAACCCAGGAAGAGGTTGACAAAACTGAAGTCTGGACAGTGGAGAGGTGAAAGCGGACTATGAAGAGCCACATGGAGACCAGCTTACTGTTTCTCCAGTCTCATCAACCTGGCTCAGTAGGCTGTTCTAACCCCAATCACAGGGGCAAGTTGTAGTCAAAAGAGGCAAACACAGTCTCGACCTCAGCACACACTCAGGAGACCAGTGCAGCACGTCTGTTGTGGCCTGGGATATTCACATGGTGTCATGGCGCCGGCGGTGTAGGGACAAGTGGTCAGATCGAGAAAAACTGCGATTGCAGTCTGTGCACCTGAACGGCTTGATGCCCGTGTGCTTACGGAAATGGCGAGTGAGCTCATCCGAGCGAGCAAACTTCCAGGAGCAGCTGTCCCAGGTGCATTTGTAAGGCTTCTCTCCTGCAGGGGGAATACGGCAAAATTAAGGTAATCAGCAAATGACTTGCTACCACAAACACAGAAGAATGCATGAGTTATATTTATATCAAAGCTCGAGTCCAAAAGTAAGACAATCACAGTAAAGGGGTACACTCATTCACCTTTTTAATTAGTTAGCTTAACAAATAAACATCATATTGCTTGTCTTCTACAAGTTTCAAAATACGCAGACACTGTGGACTGGTTAAATCTAGCTGATTAGCATATGCATTATTTCACACACTGCCTTTTGTAGTGAGAATACCTAAAAATCTACTCAACTACACAGTGCTGTTTGCAGAAGGTCTAAACTTAGGTTGAGATAGTAAAGTGGAGAGAAACAGTCTTTGAATCCTGCTTCTACCACACTAACCTACAGTACACAGTCACTTTGCCCTGGCCAAGTGCATTTTCTCAAATCTAAACAGAAGCAGAAATATCCCACAAGGTTGTTCAAAACATTTTAAAAGGTAGGCAGTGGAGGCTAGACATAGGAAAGCCTGCCGGCACTCCTAGCACTCAAGAGGGAGAGGCAGGAGGAACAAGATTACAAGTTTGAGGCCAGGCTAGTCTACATAGTGAGTTCCAGGCTATGCAAGGATACATAGTGAGATACTCTCTCAGAAAGAAGTAAAAAGAAAAAAATTAGATTGCTAGTACAAACTGTATTCCCCTAGCTGTGACCAAATGCCTGGCAAGAAGCAAGCTATGGAAGAAAGGATTTATTCTGGGTCATGGTTTGCAGGCATGCAGTTCTTTAAGGCAAAGTAGACATGGTGGCAGGAGGCTCCATCATGTCAGGTGCTCGGTTCAGTGTGTACTCACATCTCTGCAGATCAGGAAGCAGAAAGAGGAAAGTCGGGCTGGGCTGTAAGCCTGCCTCCCAGAGATTCACTTTCTACAGCCAAGCCCCAACTGCCAAAATTCCACAACCTCCCCCAAATAGCACACACAAGCAGCTGGGGGCCAAGTTTTCAAACACAGGAGCCTGTAGGCGGAATTTGACATGCAAACTGTAACACAAATCCAGGTGGCTGCCACTTTCTACTCGACTACTTGAGTCTAGCTATAGTCTTTCATCGGATACTTCCTAATGGCTGATCTGAAATAAATCCATCGACAACAAGAGCACGTGATTCAATGGTAAGAGCACTCAGATGAAGCTTGCTTGCTCCTCTGTCCGGTCATAAACTCCTCCATGGAGAGGAATGGGGAGAGCTATCAAGCTCCATGCTCTGAATCTTACGGTTAAAACTGGATTATATATGGGACATGTATGACCAGGAGAGGAAAAAAAATGGAAAAAAGTAGTACAGGAAGAACTACCAAAGCACAATCCCATTATATGCATGGGTCATATACCACACACTTATACACTCAGGGTAAAGGAAACATCGACACATTGAAACAGAAATTATAGGAAAAGTATCAACAATGGGAAAAGTGAAGATGAAGGATGGCAGGAGACTTTTTTTTTTTACAACTTTTTGTACTGTTTGAATACTTTAAAATCAGGATGTAGACATATATAACATATATGATAGACATCATATATATTATAACAAAAAATAAGCCAGGACTGGTAGTGAACATCTGCAATCCTAGTACTAAAGAAATTGAGGTAGGAGGTCCAAGAATTTGAGGCTAGTCTGTGTTCCTAAGTGAGAAGGCATTGCAGAAGTTAATTAGTTGGGGCTGGAGAGATGGCTCAGTGGTTCTGAGCAGTGGCTGATCTTACAAAGGATCTAGGCTCAATTCTCTGCACCCATATGGTAACTCACTACCATCAGTAACTCCAGTTCCAGAGGATCTGATGCCTCTATGCCTCTTTCTAGCCTCTGTGGCACCGGGCACACATGTGGTACACAGGCATACAGGGGAAACACCCATACACGTACAATAAACATAAATAAATCTAATTTTTTTTCAAAATATGGTTTCTCTGTGTAGCCCTGGCTGTCCTGGAATTCATACTGTAGAAGAGGTTGGTCTCAAACTCAGAGAGATCCTCCTGCCTCTGCCCCCTGAGTGCTGGGATTAAAGGTGTACATCACTACCACCCAGCCAAAACTTTATTTTAATTAAGGAAAGTATGCTATGTGAACAAATACACATTAACTGTGGATAAACGCAGATCACAAATCATAGTATTTGTTTTTTTCCTTTATACGCTTCTTTGTTTCTCATCTACTAGAATGAGCATTATTTTATAATAAAAGACAATAAATAATGCAGACACAGAATGTATTAGGATTCTAACAGTCTTTGCTCTTCTATCCCTCTTTTCCCCATTATAAAATTTCTGAGGCATTTGCTTTGTGCTGTTTTAAAGTCTGGTGGCAATCAGATTTGCATCTTCTCTTTTGACTTACTGCTTGCCGCCTACTAACCCTCTCGAGTGTTCACTAATTACTTAGTAGATAATGGGCGACAGAATTAAATCTGGTCTCTCTCACAGGTTTGGAGCATTACCAGGAAACTATTTGGTTGACTAAAGATGTTAGTTACTGATCATTTCAGTATTCAGAAATTGCTGCATTAGCCTTTAAGAAGAATGGCACACAGCTGAAAGCATTAAAGACTAAAGACAATCTGGGTGTAGTGGTACACACCTTTTATTTCAGAACCACAAGACTGCACAGGGAGACCTCTGAGTTCAAAGCCAGCCTGGTCTATATAGTGAGTTCTAGGCTAGGCAGTGCTACCCTGTCTATCTCTTTCACCGAACAAAAGAAGAAACTGGTAGGTTATGTAAGATTATTAACATCTAGAAAGAACAACAGGATCTCAGAGAATGTAGGAAGTGCAAATGAGGGTTTTTTTTTACTTTTATTCAACATAGTAGTAGCCCATCTCCACACTCCACAACAGTTTTGCTATGTATAGACTTTATTGTAACTGCTCAAGGATTTCTCCTAGGAGATCCTATTTTCACTACACCCAGATGAATAATAACCAACGTGTTGAGGTAGTGCCACCGTGTGGCAATCTGAGCTCACTGCTAGAACACTCAGATTCAAAATAGTTCAGGAACAAGTCCCTTTTTCTATTTCAAGATCTTTGCCTTTTATTATGGTTAATGAAGCTTTTGTTCAAGTTAAGGTCAGTGTCATCTAGACACCAAAACTTGATGAGGACACATAAAAAAAAAAGAAAGCAAACAAGGTACAGGACAACAGTCTTGATGAACACAGACACAAAAATCATCAATAAATTATTTTCAACTCAATTAAACAGCATATCAAAAATAAGCCATAGTTAACTTGATTAAATTCTGGTGTGCCAGGATGGATCAACATACACAAATCGATAAATGTAACATAGTACATAGATAAGATCAAAGATAAATATGCCATGATAATCTCCAAAAATGCAGGACAGGACTCTGATACAGTTCAACATATAGTCATAATATAAGCCTTGAGGAAATTAAGAATAGGAGGATCACACCCCAACATTATAAAGACTATCAGCAAGTCGATAGCCAGGATAATATAGAATGAGGACAAACCGGAAGCATTTCTTGTACAATAAAAAAACAAGGCAAAGATGTCTATAATCCATACTCCCTTTAAATACAGTGCTTGAAATTTTATGCACAGCAATAAAACAAAATGAGAGAGAGAGAGGGAGAGAGAGAGAGAGAGAGAGAGAACACTGAGATGGGCTTCTTCACTTGGTAAAGGTGCTTGCTGCCAAGCCTGACAACCTGAGTTTTATTTTTCTAGAATAAAAATATAGGTGATACTCAAAAGGAAGCAAAAATAAAAGCAGAACCCGATACTGAGTAGATACCGTTATGACTGTTCTGCGTCCCTTTATTGTCACTTCATTAGCTCTATGCTGTAAACAGTGAACCGGAATGGCTTCCTAAACCCTTTTCTAGCACTGCCATGACTCTGGTTCTTACAAGCTATATAATAAAATGATGTTGAAAATGTATGTGCACTGCAGTCTTTTAATTTTATTTTCTTTACCTTCCTTCCTTCCTTCTTTCCTTCCTTTCTTCCTTTCTTTTTGTTTTTTAAGACAGGATTTCTCTGTGTAATAGTTCTGCTGTCCTGGAACTCACTCTGTAGACCAGGCTGGCCTCGAACTCTCTGCCTCCTGAGTGCTGGGATTAAAGGTGTGTACTATCACTTCCTGGCTCACTTGAAATTGATATGGATGTACAAAAGACCTAAATAGCCAAAGCAATCTTAAACAAAATGTTTATGATATTAATGCTGAAGGTATTATAAAATACACTACAGAGCAATAGTAACAACAACAACAAAAAACCAGTGCTGGTAAAAAAAAAATCAGACACATAAACCAATGGAATAGAATAAAGACCCTAGAAATAAACCCACATGTCTACAGACATTAAATTCTTGACAAAAGAAAAAAATTATGTTTTGGTACAAAATAACCCCAAGAGGTTATGTGGGGCTATGTGTTGATGACTTGTCCCTAGTTGGTAATGCTAGAAGTGACTGGATTATGAGGGTTATAATCAATGCTTAATCCATTGACGCTCTTAAAACTTTACATTATTCATAAGTGATGGAAAACACAAGACAGCGCCTGCATAGAGGATGGGAGCATGAAGATATATATACTCAGAAAGCATATCTTGTTCATGGCCCTTCTTTGTTCATCTGTGTCTCTTGTACACCACCATGTGGTGAGCCGCTCTCTTCCCTGACATGTTTTCTCCACAATGTTCTGCTTCACTGGAAGCAAGAGGCAGGTGACCACACACTAAAACTAGAAACAAAAATATAATTTTCTCTTTAAAGTTGATTTGCTCAGCCACACCTCTAATTCCAGCACTTGGGAGGCAGAGACACTTGGATCTCTGTGAGTTTGAGGCCAGTCTGGTCTACAGAATGAGTTCTAGGACAGGCTCCATAGCTACTGGGAAACCCTGTCTTGAAAAACCAAAAGAAAAAAAGTTGACTTGCTTAAATATTTAGTTACAATGATGAGAAGCATCTAATGCACACATATTGGGAAAGATCATCTGTGACAATAACTGGTGCTAAGAAAACTAGATACCCACATGGGAAGCATTGAAAATATCTCCCTATTTCTCACTAAACAAAACTAAACTCACAATGGCATAGAAACTAATGTCAGACCATAATTTTGAAATTTAGAGGAAACATGTAAAATACTTCAATACTTCAAAGAGCTCAGTAAATAAACTCAAGATGGGGTGAAAAATTAAAATGCATCTGCAGAATAAAGAAATAATCAGCAAAAGACACAACCAATAACGTGAGAGAAAAATCTCTGCTAGCTACGCATAAGAGAGAAGATTAGTATCCAAAATACGCAAAGAACTCAATATAATAGCAAATGAGTAATTCACTCACTAAATGGGAAAATGATGTGGACACTCACTACTGAAAAGAAGTACAAATGTTCCAGTAAATACATGAAAATATGCTTGGTTTTCAGTCATCGCAGACACATAAAAGGAACCCGTATGCTACCCTAGCCTAGTCAGAATAGCTAGCATAATAAATAAACCAATACAGCACACTATGGTAAGAATAATATGGAAAGAAAGATTCCTGGTATACTGATGGTAGAAAAGTAAACCAGTACATAGAAAACAGTATGGAGAATCCTTAAGCAAAACTCAAAAATATGATGGGTTTGGTATTGGATACTTAGAATTCCAGCACTTGGGAGATGAAGGCAAAAGTATTAGAAATTCAAGGTCAGTCTCAGTTACATAGCAAGTTTGAGGCCAGGGGTGGCTACATGATATCCCATTTCAAAAAAAAAGTGAACAACAAAAGAAAACCAAAAGAAGCTCAACGGGGCTGGTGATGTAGCTAAGTTAGTAGAGTGCTTATACCATGCATGATGCCTTGGACCTATTGACTGCATGGCACTGCAAAACTAGGCACAGCAGCACATTCATTTGGACGGTACCAGGCTTTCTGTTTCGCTAGACTGTTCTTGGTGTTAGGATAAGAACAATAAGATGAAAACCCATAAGTGATCTTCTCTTCCTTGTAGTTTTTCTCTCTCCCTCTAGTCTCCTCTATGTATGCAGGTGTGTGCTGGAGCTGGAACAGTGGGGGGTGGGGTGGGGTGAGGGACAGACCTGTATGAATTCTGCGGTGAGCTTTCAGGTGAGAGCTTTTGGTGTACACTTTGCTGCATCCAGCAAAGTCACACTGGTGAATCCGTCTTCTCTTTAAGTCGAGAGAGTCTTCTCCCTGCATTTGGGCCATCGTTGCTGGTCTAAATAAAGGAAGAAAGATTAGACTAATTACAGTGGTGGGATTTCAGACCATTTTATCATTTATGCAAATTCAATGCTAGCTCCCTAAGAGAAGAAATAGCTGGAAGAATGTAAGCAATTCTTTCAACTAGGCCAGTCTGCTTAGGAAATGCAACTCACTGAGAAAGCACTGGAGGTGGTAATTTTTCTTTGAGTGGCTACGATGTCAAACAGTGTGAACATTTCACTTCAACATGTGCCATTATCATGCTTAACAAAATGTATTTTTCATATAACATGTTTGCTCATGAAAGAGATAGCTTGATAGAGGAAGCCATTATGGGGTTAGGGAGAAACTGGTGCTAGGGAAATTCCCAGAAATCCTCAAGGATGACCCCAGCTAAGACTCCTAGCAATAGTGGACAGGATGCCTGAGCTGGCCTTTTCCTGTAATCAGATTGATGACAACCTTAATTGTCATCATAGAGCCTTCATCCAGTAACTGATGGAAGCAGATGCAGAGATCCACAACCAAGCACCAAGCCAAGTTCCTGGAGTCCAGTGGAAGAGAGGGAGGGGAGATTACATGAGCAAGGGAGGTCAAGATCATGAATGGGAAATCTACAGAGACAGCTGACCTGAGCTTGTGGGGGCTCACACACCCTAGACCAACAGTGGGGGAGCCTGTATAGGACCAAACTAGACCTTCTACATGGAAGTGACAGTTATGTAGCTTGGTCTGTTTGAGGGGCCCATGGAAGTGGGACCAGGATCTATCTCTGGAACCCATTCCCTATGGTGGAATGATGCCTTGCTCAGTCTTGATGCAGTGGGGAGGGGCTTGGTCCTGCCTCAACTTAATGTGCCAGGCTCTGCTAACTCCACATGGGAGACCTTACCCTGTCTGAGGAGTGAATGGTAGGTGGGTTGTGGGAAAGGTGGGGGGGGAGCAGGAAGAGGAGAAGGAGGGAGAACTGTGGTTGGTAATTAAAATGAATAGAACATTTAAAACAAAAAATAAAAAAAAATCATGGTTGCTTAATGCAAGCTAATTGCTTCCAATTCCTTTCAAGATTAGAAAGCCAGGCTATTAGAGAAAAACACTACAAAAGTACACACACTTATATAGTTCTTGGGGAAAGCAGTTAGCTTATACTTCGTTTTCCTCAATCTTTTACTGCTGTGTTCTGTTAATTCTAACTCTATACATGCGTGCGCGTGTGTGTGCACACATACACACGCGTGCACACACATACACACGCGTGCACACTTTAAATACTCATTCTTGCTGCAATCCCTGCTGACTGTGTAAGGCATTCTAACTCTATACATGCGTGCGTGTGTGTGTGCACACATACACACGCGTGCATACTTTAAATACTCACTCTTGCTGCAATCCCTGCAGACTGTGTAAGGCTGAAGATCCGCTCTCAATTGCACTCTCATCACCATCACTTGGGAACTCCAGTGGAGACATGGAGGTGGGGTCAACTTTGATTAAAAAAAGAAAGGGAGTACTATAGATCAGGATGTGTGCACCGCTACAGTTATTTTCACCATGACAATTATTTTCAGGATTCCCACATTAAGAAGTAGGAGATAGAAAAATCTTGGAAAAAAAGAAAGAGGAGGAAGGCAGTAACTACTAAACAATTTTTTAGCATAAGAAAGGACAGAGGTGTCTCTGAAGGAAGGGTAGCAATGACTGTCCTCCCATCACCAGAATGTGAATTTCTCCAGGACACGATCTAAGTATGATGTATCCATCCCTCTACCTCCAGCTCCCGTTTCCCGGGTTTGTAGGAAAGATGGGTTCCATGTATTTTTGAGACACTGAAGTCTCTGAAGAGTTCCCTGACTGTCGTGAGAGAATTCCTAGGATTATCCCAACAATCACAACACTCAAAGCTGATTGTAATATTACACACATGGTGATGGCAAATATTTCAGACCATGTTAGAAGCAACAGATTTTCTTTTATCGTTTCTGATTATGAACAAAATCAACATAATTCTGGAAAAGGAACTTTTGTTGAGGACAATGAAAGACGGGGTTTAATTTATACGTTCTGAATTCTGAGCTCACTTCAAAAGTTAAATAAGACAGGCCTGGTGAAACAGACCTGTAACACCAGCTACTCAATAAGCTGATGTAGAAGAATCACAATTCAACAACTGCTAGGTTAATATATGTTAAACCAGTCTACTCAGACTGGTTTTACTCAAATTCGTGAAACTGTTATCTCAAAAAAAGGTTTGTTTTGTTTTTTTTTAATCAAAAAGAAGGCTGGGGGGTTTAGTTCAGTAGAAGAGTACTAGTAGTACCACAAAGCATAAATAAATAGATAGATGATAGCATATGAAACTCTTCCAAGCAAATTTTCAATCTTATTTGTTCAACAAACGATCTGTAGTTAAGTACTAGGGAGCCCTGTGCTGGGTGTCCCTGGAGAGGTACAGAGTCACATCATAAAGTCTTCATGTAGGAAAAATGGCCTCATACTCTTGAAATCAAATAAAATCTTCAAAGCAATAAAATCTTAAAAAGAAGGTCACAGACGTCAAATAAAGGGCTTCCCAAGAAACGTGGCTATATTGCCGAGACTTTTCTATAGAGAACAGGGACGGTGTGGTTAGCCACCACTGAGCTCGGCTGAGTTACGGCCCTGGGAGGAATAGTGAGTTTTCTAACAAAGCGTTCCTAAAGGCACAGATAGCAAATAGCGCAGTAATCTGGGAAGGCCCAGGATGAACAAGGTCTTACTGAGTGCAGTTTTTTAATTTAGTTTGTAATTTAACTCAGAGTTCAAATTTTGCATTTTCTTTTAAAATAGCACTATTTGTAAATATAGTGATTTAAATTATTAATTATCAAAAAAACATAAAGATTCTAGGAAGAGACGTGCTATTTCACTCAAAAATATGCATCTTTGTTTGAGAAACATGTTCTATCTAACGGAGATCAATTATAGGTTCTTTTGTGACAAGGTCTCCTTGTCACAAGTTCCTTGCCACAGTGTGGCCTGGAGCTTGCAGTCCAAGGTTAGTCTGGGACTCTCCTACCCCAGCCTCTCAAGTACTGACATTACAGATATGTGCCAAGACACATGGCTCATTATACATTCTTAAGCATTATATAGAAATTATTTTAGAACCACTTTTTAAAAAATGATAATTTAAAAAAATCTCCTTTGAAACAGTGTCCCTCCCAAGTGGAAGAGGTGAAAAGAGACAAAACAGAATGACTGAGAAAGCAAGTTCCCTGACTACAAGAAGCTGTAAACCCTGCACTCACCTGACCCAGCATTTTTGCCGTCCCCTCCAATGAGTGGGACAGTAATAGCTGCAGGACTCCCGTCTGCAGGCAGACTGGTATAGACCATAGGCAAAGACTGCACCACCAGTGGGATTGTTTTTAGTCCACCCATCTTATTTGGCAAACTGACTGAGGGGATGGTGTGAATCACATGTAAAATCGGCTGGCCCGCCGTCCCCTGAGAGGACGCCAGGATAGAGCCTGGAGTGAGAACGGTAGGAATGGCCGGTGAAGGGCCTGTGTCAGATGAAGTGGGCATCGCCATGGCCTGGGCTGCAGATGGTGGCTTGGGAGGCCGTATTGGAGCTTGCAGTATGCTAGCAGGCTGGAGAGGAGCCTTCGGCTTGTGAAAGGAGAGGTCAACTGGTTCCACCTGGGGCAGGTTGAAATCACTAGCCAGGAGCTCTTCTGGAGGCTCGATCTTGATATCATTAAACAGGGCTGGGTGCTCCATTGGGCTGGCATCCAGGAGTGGGGAAGAAGTCATATTACTTCTGTGTGCTGTCACAGAGGGATCTCTGATCTGAACAGGGCCAGTGACCTAAAATAAATGAATATGAGGTGAGACAGCCACTGTTAGTATTCTACAGAGACACAGGAACAATGAAAGAAAGAAATCTCTACACTCATGGAAAAGATACATCATATTGAAAGAAATGAGACTGTAATACACTACAGAATAAAAAGGAAAGAAAATGGTACTATGCACCAGTGTTAAGTATTGACACTACTGTATCGTACAATTGATAAAAATCCTTTAATTAAATTTTCTTGGCCGAGTAGTGGTGGCAAACGCCTGTAATCCCAGCATTTGGGAGGCAGAGGCAGGCAGATCTCTGTGAGTTCAGGGCCAGCCTGGTCTACAATAACTAATTCCAGGACAGCCAGGGCTACACAGAGAAACCCTGTCTCAAAAAAAAATTCACAATCATAGAGCTAAAATGAAATTCAATTTTAACTCAAAAAATCCAATAAAAGGGTGTTCATTTAGAAAATAGCTCTTGAAAAAAAGAGCAGAAACCATTTACACAATGGTCCTGCAAAGGTAATGTTCTAAGTCCAATGATAGCAGTTACGAGTAAGACACAGCAATGCTATTCTTAACTTACTTATGAATAAGGCACAGCTAAGTATATACTAACTAGAATGTTAGAATGAGTACCTTGCAAGTCATACTGAAATAAGTAATGTGACATATAAACAAGATGCTTCAGAGAAACAAGGAAGTAGATGTAGCACAGTGGTACATGATTTGCCTAGCAAAATCAAAGTCATAGGTTCCACTTCCAACACGGAAAAGATTTGCTTGGGGGTGGGGGGTAATCTGTTCTATCTAGACAGGGAAGGCTTTACGGAGAAGGTGACAGTTTAGGTGAGTCAGAGAATTAATAGGCTTTCCCAAGGAGAGAAAAGAGGTAAGAAGAGCACTTCTATTAGCAATGGTGTGTTAGTAGATAACAGGCACCGGGAATATGATACAGGGTAATTAGTTGAATTTACATGCAATGTTAAATTTTGTAAGTTTTAAAATGTGGAATAATTAAAAATTAAATGCACATCTATCTATAATCCCATCAATTGGGAAGTTGAGGCAGGAGAGTCTGAGGTGAGAGGACTGTGAGTCTGAGGCCAGCCTGAGATACACAGTGACTTGGCCTGCATGCATACACACATGCACACGCATCCATGCACGCAGACACACAGAGATAGAGATAGAGAGAGACAGAAATGCAGAAACCCAGGCAAAGACATTTGCACCCGCACAGTCACTGCAGCTGTTTTTCCAATAGCTAGGACATGGATGAACTCTGTCTAGCAATTGATAAGAGGATAAAGAAAACATGATAAATACACTCAATAGAATAGTATTCATCCTCAAAAGGAATAAGATCCTGTTATCAGTTCAACATGGATGGAACTGGAGATCTTTATTTTAAGGAAAACAATGGAGGCACAGAAACACAAGTATCACATGATCCTATTCATGTGTGGAAGCTTTAAATAAACTCAATTTGCACAAATTGGGAACAGAAAAATTGACTACCAGAGCTTAGGGACAATGGAAGGAAGATGGGCAAAGAATGATCAATACGAACCAAGCTATGGTTTAATAAGCAAAGAACCCTGGAATCCTATCCCACAGCCTCCTGTGTGGCTACATATGACATTGGGCTAGAGAGACGGCTCAGCGATTAAACATGCTTACTGCTCTTGCAGAGGACGGAGTTTCAGTTCCCAGCACCCACATGGTAGCTCACAGGCCACCTGTGATTTCAGTTTCAGGGGGACCCCACATCCTCTTCTGCCTCTAAAAACACTACACGCACATGTACTCATGCAGGCTCACATTTATAAAAATAAAAACTTAAAAACAGAAAAGAGTTTGACAATTTTTATTATAAAACAACAAATGTCTGAGGAAATGGCTGTGTTTAGCATAAGCTGCACATTATTCAATGTATACAGATATCCAAACATGACACGGCACTACATTAAAGTGTATGAACTTTGTTTTTAATTGATTAGTTAAAATACAATCAAAAATACTAATAAATGGTCACTGAACATGTAATATAAACAGAAAAGTCCCAATCTAATTAAAATATCTCTAAAAACTTGATCAAATCAGATGTCAAGGATGTTGGGTACTGTGTAAACAACAGCCAAGCAATATAAATCAAGACTATGGCCTTGGAGATGATAGGGCCACTTCAGCCAATAATCAGAGCACGGCTCTACTTTCTGAAAACACATTTGAGTTATGGAAGTTTTAAACTATTAGAGATGTTCAAAATGCTTACTGAGCTAGTCTACAGTTTGATTTGGAAAGAAGGGAAAAGGGGATTCGAGGAAAGGCTGGGTAGCAGAAGAGTACAGTGACATGAGCAAAGCTATTAAATTTCTGCCAATGACCGGAGAGCAGTGAGAGACGAATAATACTGCATTTAAAGAAAGGAAACTTGGAGAAACTCGACTGCTAACTGGATACACGCAGTATGAGTGAGCTTTATTAATTATAATTGTAAGGTATGATAACGGTACTACAGTAGTAACTATTTTTTAAAAATTGATGAGAGAAAATAAGGAGCTGAATTCTGAAAGGAAGAAATATAGAGAGGTAGCGTCCTCTTGCTGTGACTTCACTTAAGGACCACCCCCCAAAAGTCTTAAGGGAATGAGTGTGGGCACAGAAAAAGAATCTAAATTCAACCATCAGAACTTAACCAGACTTCCATCTGCATCTCTTCTCTTTGCTGACTTGGAAGCCCCCAACTCAATTTGGGCCTGGTGCTAATCTTTTTTATTTTACATTATGCATCTTCATATCCTTTCTTCCATCACTTCATAAGCATCTCAAGCAACCTGTAACTCACATGTGGATTAACCCCCTTTGTGAAAGGGGCTCAGAAAAAATCCCATTAGCAGGAGCAGGTGTGGCGTCAGGTGGAGACCAGAGTGATAACGTTATCAAGATCTGCTTCACTGGGGCTAAGGAGATGGATCAGTGGTTAAGAGCACTTGGTGCCCATGCAGAGGACCTGAATTTCAGTTCCCAGCACCCACGTGGTGGCTCACAACTGTCTGTATAACTACAGTTCCAAGGGATCCAGTGCCCCGCATCTGGCACCGTGGGCACATGTATATACACAAACAGGCATGCACACATATACATAAAAACAAATTTTTGAAAAAGAATTATTTTAGTAAACATCTTTACTGATCTCTGGATCTCCCAAATCAATTTAAGCAACCATGTTTTTCTACATTCCTACTTGTCTCTGCCAGAGTAGCTTCATTCAGTGGTATCAAAAGTAGAATCAAAACAATCTGTAAGGCTGGAGAGATGGCTCAGCAGTTAAGACCCACTGGCTGCTCTTCCAGAAGTCGAGAGTTCAAGTCCCAGCAACCACATGGTGGCTCACAACCATTTGTAATGAGATATGGTGCCCTCTTCTGGCCTGTAGGCATGCATGCAGACAGAACATTACAATACATACATAAATCTTTACAAAAAGATTCTTTAAGCAAAGCAGGAAGGTCACGTATTTCCACAATTTTTTAAATATTTATTTATTTATTATGTATACAATATTCTGTCTGTGTGTATGTCTGCAGGCCAGAAGAGGGCACCAGACCCCATTACAGATGGTTGTGAGCCACCATGTGGTTGCTGGGAATTGAACTCAGGACCTTTGGAAGAGCAGGCAATGCTCTTAACCACTGAGCCATCTCTCCAGCCCCACATTTGTTTTTTTTACGATGGCTTCTGATGATACTGAGAAAAGAGCTACGATAAAAGTTGTTAGATGCAGGGCTGGAGAGATGGCTCAGTGGTTAAGAGCAGTGCCTGCTCTTCCAAAGGTCCTGAGTTCAATTCCCAGCAACCACATGGTGGCTCACAACCATCTGTAATGAGGTCTGGCGCCCTCTTCTGGCCTGTAGGCATACAGACAGAACATTGTATACATAATAAATAAATATTTTTAAAAAAGTTGTTAGATGCAATATTTTCTTTTTTTCTTCTTAAAATTTATTTTTATCTTTAATTATGTCTGTATGTGTATGTGCACACATGTGGGTATGTGCACATTGCAGCTAGGTTTCTGTGGAGATCAGGCGCTAGGAACTGAACCCCAGGTCCTCTGCATGGGCACCAAGTGCTCTTAACCACTGATCCATCTCCTTAGCCCCAGTGAAGCAGATCTTGATAACGTTATCACTCTGGTCTCCACCTGACGCCACACCTGCTTCTGCTAATGGGATTTCTTTGAGCCCCTTTCACAAAGAAGGTTAATCCACACGTGACTTACAGGTTGCTTGAAATGCGTATGAAGTGATGGAAGAAAGGATATGAAGATGCACAAAGAAACTGAACTCCCTCGACCTGGAGTTCCATGTGAATGTGAGCAACCTAATATGGATGCTGACAGCTGAACTCAGATCCTCTGCAAGAGCTGCATACACTGTTCACCACTGAGGCATCTCCTCAGCCCTATATACAATATTTTCTCTAATAAGATCACTGGTGCTGATATATAGATAGACACAACAAAGAAGTACTTAGTTACAATTTTTAATGTGTTTTCTAGGGTCCGTGCTTTAGGCCTAGAATTCTAAGGAAGTCAAACCTCTGAGTCTTACATATAAAGTGGAGACTATTTGTAAATTTCCTCTTTTGCCAAGGCCATTGCTAGGACAAAGAGTGCTACCCGCGATACTACTATCAGCACAAGGGCTTGCACAAAGCTGGTACTTGATCTGCAGCTACTCAGGTTACTGAAAACATTATTCAAGAACACCCTAAATGGAAACTGAACAAAGAAAGTGTAGAAACACATTTATGCTTCTTGCTTTGATGAGAGATAACGGCACAGGCCCTGTTCAAACTCTCTCTCCTGGGTTGAGCTTCTGCAGACCAAGCCTGCTTTGTGGATTCTCAATTTTTCACTCAAACTGTCTGCAATGGTGCTTAAATCATTGCTCTCTCTTGCTGTCATCACATAGCTCTGAAGCAAATGTTAGAAGGTGGTTATTTAGATC